ATCCGCTTGAGAAAGTAGATGCGCAGTTACTGAAAAATGTCGCAGATTCATTGTAGGCCATTCCAGTTCTTTTTTTCATGTGGCGATGTGGATGCTTACCCAGCGGCGCGTGCTTCGTCAGGCGCAGAGCGCGGCTCCGTTTTGGCAACTAGATTTGAAGAATTTATGAAGGTGAAGGACGCAGTGGCAGGGGCCCAGGTGGGAAGTTTTACAAATAGAATGGGCCCGGATCTAATATGCGAATGTGAAGACTTTTGATTGAACCAGCGGAAAAGAGCAGCACCATTTGCTTTTGCAGTGCTGTGCTTGTCAGGATCTGATCGATGGATATCGGGCGAGAGTTTTGTTGAGAGTGAAAGCAAATGAAGCGAAAAGCACAAGCGAGCACGAACTTCAGAAGTTGAGACTTTAGAAGTTTTCCAGATCATGTCTATTTCGGCTTCTCTCCGATTGCCTCCATGTAAGAGTCCGTCTTTTGCTATAGGCGAGGTCTTCTCTTTACTACGAGGTCTTTGGTTTTGCTATAGGATGGGTCGCGAGAAAAGACGCACCTTTAGAGTACTTAGGTATTGGCTGGATCTGACGAAACTATAGCACCTGAATAGTAGCTGTCGGCCATATAGTACACGTTTAGGCCAAAGTAGCTGATCACATAATTATACTTGTCAGACAAAAAATGGGCGGCAAGCTTCCAAAAGCGGCGCTGGTGCCAGTGCCACTGCAGTGGACGCTCTTTAAATGCCAAGTAGAAAGTTTCTTTCAGGACTCTGGTGAAATTGGAGGCAGCATAGAGGAAAACAAGTTTTCTATGTCCGCCGAGACTTTCTTCAAGAGTATACGGGGCCCCACTCCTGAAAACAAGAAAGCCCCAGGAGTGATGTTGACTCGGTTTTTGAAACATGTCTTCGATGACTGCCGCGCTCCCCGGCGCCGCGGATTGTTGGGGTCCAAAGGGCGAACGGGTACTAGAATTGCGATGCGGTGTTGTACTATTTGGGCCGAGTAGTGTTGAATGTCGATACGTGGGTGAATTCTGAGTCTGTCAAAAGTGTGTTTCCTCTTTTTTCATGTACTAGTGTTGATGTGGTCTCTCGCCTATATTATCTTTCTCAGGTTGCGACGAGCAGGAAAAACAGGAGTGGAGGTATGATGAGCACATTCTTTCCGAAAGCGATAAAAAGGTTCGGTATTATACTGCTCTTACAAAGCCAGGGAAGCGATATAGTCGATATAGCAAAACCGTGGCAAGTAGCTTAAGTGAGAACGATCAAAGTCAAACAGGTGGACACGACAGCAAGGAGATCATCGTCGACCAGTTAGAGACGAACTATAGCGATGGACCTGAAGTAAGCGTGATTTGCGTTTCGTACGTCCAAACAACGGTCGATGGGCAGCGCCATTCGATCGATGAGGTAATCTTTGAGCACCAATATGACCATAATCTGTCCGGCGGAGTAGAATTCCCGCAGTTTTGGCGATGGAGATCGCCACTCAGCGGAAAAGTTATGGCATTTGAGGGAAGCTTTTCGTTTTCATCTATAATGCTTCTTTTTCCACTTTACCACGTTCAAACCTGCGCTTTCTAGTCTCCACACTTCGCTTTGAAACGGACAGCTGCGCGGGTACTCTCATCATTAGCATAGCGGCTTCTATGAGGCTTCAGCATTCACATCCACTGTCCGCCTAGTAGGCTGGTCTGGTGGAGTGCTGCTGGTCTTCGCGCAAAGTGCTNCAGGACCATGTACTTATTCTCTTATCACATTAATCCAGCATCTGCTTGGTACTTATCCTACAGGTACTTATAGATACTACTATCATAACAGGACCATGTACTTATTCTCTTATCACATTAATCCAGCATCTGCTTGGTACTTATCCTACAGGTACTTATAGATACTACTATCATAACAGGACCATGTACTTATTCTCTTATCACATTAATCCAGCATCTGCTTGGTACTTATCCTACAGGTACTTGTACTAGTACTATCATAAGCATAACAGCACCATACTACTAAATCACAAGTTACGCACCATGTTATATGTTGACTACTTGTGCGGGTTGTAAATAATGTAATGTTGGGTTGATGAGGTTCACAATTTTTAGTGTAGTGTCATTGACATTTTGCAAGTTTACAATATCCACTTTGTCCAACGCCATTGCAAATACTAGCTACATCCACCGTAACGACTAATAGTCGGTAGAGGTACTTGTTGTACAGCCTAACCTCCATTAAAGTCCCCTCTAAGTACACCCCACAACCCAATGTCTGTATCTATGTATAACTCCACTACAACAGGTAGCATCATGATGCTGATGTCTGATATGTGCTTGGTTCGCGAGCCGGCGTGGCGCAAATGGGTCGAGATCTACGCGAAGGATAGCGCACGACTCAAAAGGGACTTCGGGCTCACCTTCAATTAAGAATCTGGTTCATAAAAACTGTAAATTAGCTTATGCTCAGAGCACATAAATAGTTTTGAAGTTCGCACTTCGACACCCACTACACCCTTGGCTCATATTTTAAGTAAAAGAGCCAGCCACTAAGTAAAACAACCGGCTAGCTTTAGTTTCCCCTTGTAGTTCTCCCTTCAACATGATAAATTATCTTCGATCACCCTTTCGGTTTCGGCGGTCTTGGCCTACAAAAAAAAAAAGATCTTGATTGTTCCTCAACTGTGAAAGAAACTACTTGAATTCATCTACACTACCAACTCCTACTAGGAACATACATCATCTACCTCCTACTAGGAAGATCCATCTACCTACCTTCTCTACCAACTACTCCTATGCCTTACAGAGAAGATATCAACTCCAACGATCATCCACACTACCAACTCCTACTCCTCCTAGCGCAAGTGATGCCTACTCCTCCTAGTGCAAATGATACCAACTAAGTACTACAACAACTCCTACTCCTCCTAACTACTCCTATTCCTCCTAACTACTCCTATTCCTCCTAACTACTCCTATTCCTCCTAACTACTCCTATTCCTCCTAAAAAATATATCAACAAAAAGCTGCAGATCCATGCACAATACCAGCTACTCCTAGACAACTCCTCCTCGAGAAATCCTAGCCCTCCTAGAGAAATCCAAACCCTATTCCTCCTCGTTCGTAGAGAAGATTAATATATCACCAACAAGCTCCTCCTGCTCTAACTTATGGCGGCAACTGAACTCGGCTGGGTCAGACCGGAACAGCCGAAGAACACTTGGGATTGGATTGTGCAGAGCGTCAAGAAACTGCCAGAAATGAAGCTGCGCGAAATCGCGGAGCTCGTATGCTGTAGAGAAGAAACATACTACAGATAGAATCAACGAAAGTTGTAGAAGTACTACAGGGGTAACTTATTATTGTTCGATAAAAAGAATAACTATACTTTTTACAGGTAAAAAGATTAAGATACAACGTACCACTTAACTAGAAGAAGTCTATTAAAATAATAAATCCTCAGTGAATTTTTTCGTCGGATATGGTGGAGGTGAACGTGATGAAGGTCGTCCCTTGAGCAGAAGATTACTACGGGTGAAAAATAGACTCGGGCAGAAAAACCTTCGGGATGTGGATTAAGTCCAAAAACGAGGACAGAATCGATTGTTTACAACAACATAGATAATTGTTTCTATTTTTTATGGTCAAGAGTCCACGGAACCAGGCAGCTTTCGATGAGTTGCTACGTGGTTCGAATGAATGAATGAATAAAGTAACTGATAGATATATATATAATTCAAAAAATGTAGCAGGAGTTGTACCACTAGGAGCATGATACTTGTTACAAGAATGATAATGAATAACTACAAAATCAAAAACCATCTAGCATTAACTACTAGTGGCACAGCACCAGCATCTTCACACATAACAGTGGAAGTACAAGGTAGTAACCTCAAAGATTGTGATATCTTTCTCTTAATCGATGACGAACTAGCTGCGTACTACATCAAGACTCCTGGAAACGTATACCTGAAGCAAGTCTACGAGAAGATATAAGAGGATAGGTGAACTCGATTCCCATGAAACAAACGGCTGGTGAAACAAGCGGGTGGCTCGAAGCGAATGACAGAAGACGCAGCCGCTGATGCTTGGGCATGAATGCACATCGTGGTTACAAGTAGAAGATGGAATTTTTATAACAGAACCAGAACAAGTTTCTTTTCCATGATTATGGCATAGAAGTACCGATGGATAGAATTAAATTTCTTTTCTATGCTATGAAGAAGAAGA